TTCTTTGCATAGATGAGGTAAAACTAGAGCTCTTTGGCAAGACACATTAGCTCTATGTTCACAGATGCAAAAATGAAGCACACCAAGAAAAGAACATTCATCGTTATTGATCTCTCACCAATTTTATCAAAGAACTATGCGTTGTAGGTTTAGTTCAATTTCTTCATTCAGACAGATACAGTATATAAAGAGCCCATATTACTCTATTTTCTGATCTGTGTTATAATGCTGCTTCCTCATCACAGACCTGGACTTGTGTTTTGTTTCATTCACACATGTTTAACACACAAATCCTGCATATTTAGGCTGAGTTCTTCATGTGGAGTCAGTGTTTTTCTGCAACTAAAACCTGGAACAGTCCTTGTGAACATGTGAGACAAGACTCTGCTCTGACTCTTTTTAAATCCAACAAACACTTCTGTTTAGCTGCATATGACGGAAAGGTTTTCATTCTGCACTCTTCTCTGTTAATGTTAATTTTATTATGATTATTTATGTTTTGATTTATTTGTATTGTGGTTTTAATGTCCTTCTTATTCTGTAAAGCTCTTTGAATTAGGCCTACTTTGTCTACGATTTGTGCTATACAAATAAACTTGCCTTGCCTTGTCGAATCATTTGGATAATTTCAGCCCTGGAATTGTCAATCTCTTCTGAACAAAACCAGTTGTTTTGAAAACCTTTGAAAACTACCACTTTGTGACATCATGAATAGATGGATGTAACAGAGCATTTTGAGCTTTGGAAATGTAGACAGATTAATAATAAAGTGTTACTCAAACATGTGAAATAAACGAAACACAACTTCAGGTATATTTTTGAGGAGCATTCCAACATTAACCAGGCTGGCGCCACCTAGTGCCTCCGCTCAGTTTCATTTCTCTCCAGCGATTAGGTCAGGAATCGGAATACATTAGACGGTTTGCAAAAACCCCGGAAGTGTGAGTCCAGGCACCAGCCAAACAGTGAAGAGCCAGACATTCTGTGTTGGCAGCGATTCCCGAGATCAACAAAGAGAATGTTTGGTGAATTTTATCAAGGGGAAAGAAGTTATTGTCCTTCTTCCTACGGGATTTGGGAAAAGCTTAATATACCAGTTAGCCCAGTTAGCGGCCCATTATATACTTCACGACCAAATAGCAGCGATTGGTTAAATAAAAAAGTACTCGCTTACCATCAAGCGAATGAATCCTAATGCTGCAAGGTCAGATGAAGTGAAACCAGCCAATGAATCAGGCTATTCTAACATGGTTTCAAGCTCACAATCTATTTTGCGTAAGAGGACTTACAGAAACCAGTCAGAACTGAATAGGCCTCTTGGATGAGCGGTGAAATATAGTCACAATTAAAAAGCTTTGTCCAATTGAAAGATTGAAGATAAAACAAACATTTATTTCTCACACATTGGGGAAATCACAGTGTTGCACCACAAAGTACAAGTACAAGTACAAGAACAACATGCAATCAAAATCAAGATATAAAACTATTAAAGATTTAACAATAGACAATAAAAAATGTTCTTCTGGAATAAACAATAAACATAACTTGTCTTACCAGTTCAACACAAGCCTATAACGGTGATGTCATCATAAACAGCATAATCGGCCCATTCAAAGTGATGAGCTCACACAAATCTACACAAAAGACAAATGTCACTGTGCTCATGTCTTTGTGTAACTGTCAAAATGTGCCGACCTCACAGTGTGTGTGAGTCAGAACAGAGTCTCTGCCTATGGACATGTGCAGGATGATGAGGGGTCAGGGTCACACTGCTGCTGCTCACATGACGTCACAACATTACTACAGGCCAATAATATTTCATTGATACTTTGCACTGACATCATGCTGGGGGCGTTCTGCATGGATGTCTATGGGCGAATGTTCAGAAGTTCCCATGGTGACACAATCATCAGCAAACAGTGCCACAAATAAAAAAAAATTATATATATATACTGTATTTTCCGCACTATAGGGTGCACTTAATAGCCTTTAATTTCCTTTAAAAAAATGACTGCATGCCTTATAAACCAGAGCACCTTATATATGTATTTATTTGGGTGTCTAAGTACGACTTTAGTAAACTACAAAGCCGCACCACTTGCAGCATTATGGCTCCCATAGTCAGGAGAATCGTGGAGTAATACATACTGTGATTCCTTTTAATATCAAAATGCACCTGTCAAGAGACACGCTTACAATGCCCACTTTAAACTCATTATTATATTATTATTTTACTATTATTTTAATATTATTATACTATTATAAAGTGAAAGTGCGAGCTGCGTGGGAGCAGTGGTTCATTAAGACAGGGAGACAGCGCCGAGCGACTTACGCCATGATCTGCCAATGGATCGTGGACGCCTGGGCTAAGGATCAGTATCAACTGTGGGCCGAGCTTTCACCAAGACCGGAATCATCACTGAACTGCCAGGGAACAGTAACCACACTGACTGGGATAATGACGAGAGGGATGTGGGCGTGCTGGACGCCGTAATCACCCAGCTGTTTGAACTATTATGAGTTATTGCAAATACGTTAACAGTTTAGTGGTGTCAGACAGTATTTTTTTACGTGTTACAATTGAACAAAGTTGAGAGTTATTGTGAACGTGTTAAATAAAGTTTGATTGGCTTATCCAACTGTTGTGTTTCGTTTAATATGCCTTATAGTCCGATGCGTTTTATATGTGAAAAAAGGTCGAAAATAGACCATTGAATGACAGTGCACTTTATAATCCAGAGCGCCCTATAGTGCGGAAAATATGGTAGATACAAAATGAACTTAAACAGATTTGTGCTTTTAAACAAGTCTCTCATACATAAAATTACAGTCACTAGCTAGAATCAGCCAACAGTTTTTCAGTTTGGCTTAATTTTATTTATTTTTTTTACTGAAAATCACATAAACACACAAACAGGACCATGAACACTCAGACCGATCACAGGCTCCTGAAAATATGTTTAAATCCTTAACAGTTTTCTTAAGTTTTCAGATAATCTTGAAACTTTTTTGGCCGTGTTTCCATTGTGTCTCCATGGTAACTACTGAAGATTCCACCACAGAGATACACGTAGAACATCTCCAGCATGATGCCACTGCAAAAATATCCACACTGGAGTAAACATCTACAAATATGTTCTCATCTAATCCCAGAATAAACCATTACAGTGACAGAATTGTGATAATGAAACGTTGAATAAAAGTTTTTTATCTCTTCTGCTTCAGCCCACGTGCTTCTGCTGCTGGAGCTGAGCCGACGTCAGGCCCAAACACAAGCCTCATTCACTCACACAGGAAGTACTGATAAACAAGCTGTTACCGTGGAGATCAGAGCGCTGGACATGCAAAATCTACCCTCTCTCTCCTCTCTCTGCCCCCATCTGCCCCCATCCTCTCTCTTTCCTCTGGGTCTGTTACTCTCTTGTTCCTACCTCCCTTCACTTCCACTCTCTCCCTCCCTCCCTCCTTTCTGCCCTCGTTCCCCTTTACACTCTCTTTTTTTCTCTAGCATTGCTTCTATCTCTCTTCCTCCCTCTCTTCATCTATCTTTCTCCTTCTCCCCCCACCCCCTCTCACTCCCTCTCTCTCTCTCTCTCTCTCTCTCTCCTTCTTTCTCTCTCTCTCTCCCTCCCCCCTCCCTTCCTTCCTCTCTCTCTCTCCTGGGATAAATTTGGCCTCTCACATAAGAAGCCTTTTCATTTGAACATGGGGCTATTTGTTTGTATCTATGGAGCAAACATGCGGCTCCCGACTGTACTGAGAGAGGAAGAGGAGGAGAGGAGGAGGGAGGAGAGAGTGTGGAATGGACTCATGACTCACCACTTTCATATTTTGGAATATTTTAGTCGATCAACAACTAATAATTTGTAGAAGTCCATACCAGTCCATTGTATTCCCTGGCAAATCCAAAATGACATTTCTGTATTTTTCACACAAGTCTGATCCTCACACTCTCCACTGCATCTCAACTTGTCTCAGATGAACAGAGTTAAGTGCTTTGCTCATTAATTCTGCAGAAATCTGATATGTTTTTCATTTTATTTGGTATTTTCTGAGCACTCGTGCTTCACAGCAAGAAGGTTCTGGGTCTGATACTCGGGTTGCACAGGCCTTTCCAAGCAAGAAGGTTCCTGATTCGGTCCCTGGGTCACCTGGGCCTTTCTGTGCAGATTTTACATGTTCTCCCTGTGTCTGGGTGGGTTTCCTCTGGGTTTCCCCCATCGAACTTAAAAAAACATACACAAGGGACAACAGGTGGAAATGAGCTTGTGCTACAGCCTGGCACAAAGAATCTCTCCTGTTAAGGTTAATGTAGATTGTGCACTGTCCCTGTGTCATAAATAAACTACATAAATAAGAATAAATAAATCGGTATGAACCATGCGTATCCCTGATTGGCTGATTGGATGGTGTATGAAACACATCAGTGCACAAAGAATGTTTGGATTAGAGCATTATCTCGATATCTTGGTTGTCCATGTTAGTTATTAAAAAAGCCTATTTGAATCGACTGTATCCTTTATGATCACTGGGAAGGGAAGTTCATCTTCTGTATATTTGACCATCTGTGAGTGTCACTGGGTCAGGAGCAGTGCAGGGGTTTGTCTGTGTAGAACTATGCTTGGTCTAGTATCAGCTAGAACAATATAGTGCTAAAAGCACTTTAGTGCATCATTCATTCAATTCAAACTCAGTTACTACTGCTGTAGCCACAGCTGCCCTGGGACAGACTGACAGATGCAAGGTTGCCACTCTGCCCCACTGACAACCACTGACCACCACTGCTACACATCACATTCACACTAGGCAAAGTGGGTGAAGTGTCTTGCCTACAGACACAATAACAGTTTCCACTAAAGCCCCTGGCGCTCTACTGTGACTCCTGGTGTTCTCAGCACTCTCTCATCCAAACACTAAGCAGGCCCGGCCCTGCTTAGCTTCTGAGATGTGATGAGACGCAGGTATAAAGTCTTAAGAAAAACAAATGACAAGTCCACATGTTCAGCTGATGGTTATTTATTGCTACTGTCAGAATACAAAAATAGCTTTAGAGCAAAGAGCAGAAGGTAGTACAAGTCTATAGGCACAGGGAATGATAACACATCAAAACTCTACAATATTTTATAACATAATGTCAAATAAAACACAACTGAACAAAATTAAATATTTAAGAGATGACAGTTTAAGATTTTCCTTATTGACAAAAATAAGACGACAATTCTCCTCTTTTAGTATGACAAATTGGAGCAGTAAAACAGGTTATTTACAAAAAGAATAAGACTACAGTTTAGATTTACATTCAAGACATAAGCGAGTGCACTGGCTCATAGAAAATGTCTCTTAAACAAAACAAAAAAAATCTTATTAGTTTTATAAATATTTAACTTTTTCCCTTTAAAAGGATGTAAAATGGCACTTATTTGGTTAAAATTCACTGAGATGAAGACAGGTGATTCTGACTTTCACCTTTATTTTGGTTGATGTCATTGTAATACTAGCTCTTACAATAGTTTCTGCACAAGTATCAGAATTTGGTCTTGACATCACATTTGTTTAAAGGGCTGATATTACACCATTTTCTGATCTATGTTATAACGTTTCCTGATCAAAAACATACCTGATTTTAAGTTTTGGAGATGTCGACTAATAATACAGGTAAGTTTTTGAGGAGGTAACAGAATTATAACATGATTTAAAGCTCACAATTTTGCGTAATGTAGGACCTTTAATCAAATTTGCTTAATTAAAAGGCCTATAGATTTGAAACATTATTAGAAATGATGGATTCTGAATTTCAGTCACAATTTCATCATAAATTTCAACACAGTTACATTTTTTTAGCATTGGAGATATTTATGGTTTGACTGGAATGTTCCACAGTATGGCATGCATGTATGAAGAAGCTGTTACAGGTCAGATCTGTGGAGAAGCGAGCCAACTTCCAATAAGAACGCATTATTTTTAGACTATTTTGATCATTAAAAACATCTGTAATTGAATGAATGTAAGATATAAAGCATACTGTGGAACTTTCTAGGCAAAGCAATAACATCTCCATGGAGACAAGCAGGTGCTGGAGCCCTTAAACCAGAAAAGCTGCATAGTGCTTCTTTAAATTTACAGGCCTTTAAAGTTACAAATCTGATGAGACAAATGATCTTCCACATTTGGAGATTTTTGTAATGTTAAAAGTTGAAACTATTGTCTAAAATCTGCACAATAAATGAAGTTATTCTCACAAATCCGATTAGAATAAGTTTTGGCTCATGTTCCCTTTACATTATAGACACTTTGGCACACCTCCTGAATAATACGCAATATAAAGGCTATTCAAATATATTCACTATTTACAAAACTTAACAAATTCAGAATAAAAAAACTTGAATTTTACCCCTGTTTTTTTCGAACAGTGCATAATCGAGTCACTAAAAGGCAGTGTGTTTCTGAACTGCATTTTGGAAATGAGATGATCCACATGAAATATTGATAAAAAATGAAATAAAATAAAAATAATAAAAAAAATCCCTTATCGTCCGTGTGGTAAGTTTGAAATAAATATCGGAACAGAAATGGCTGAAGCTATAGTCTGTATTTTTGGCACTGATGTTGTAATCCTAGTTACGGGTCCAACTGATCTGTTTTGTTAGAATAAGACCGATTTAGTCCTGGTTTAGGCCTAGTTTGGCATGGTTTTGTCCTGGTTCAGTCCTGGTTTAGTCCCTGGTTTGACCCAGTATAGACCTTGGTTTCGACCTGGTTCAGTTCTGCTTTCAGTACTGGTTTTATTTCTGGTTTAGACCTGTTTTTCTCCAGTCTTTATCTTGGTTTAGTCCTGGTTTAGTCTTGGTTCAGTCTTGGTTTAGATCTTGTATAATTCTTTTTTTTTTCCATACTGATTTTATTCCTGGTTTGGTTCAAGTCTAGTTTGGACATGATCATGACCCTGTCTATAACCTGTCTTATTCCTGGTTTACACCTGGTTCAGTCCTGGTTCAGTCTTGGTTTAGTCCTTGGTTTTGACCCAGTATAGACCTTTGTTTCGATCTGGTTCAGTTCTGCTTTCAGTACTGGCTTTATTTCTGGTTTAGACCTGTTTTTCTCCAGTCTATATCTTGGTTTAGTCCTGGTTTAGTCTTGGTTTAGATCTTGTGTAGTTCTTTTTTTTTTCCACACTGGTTTTATTCCTGGTTTGGTTTGACCCTGGTTTAGACCTCATTTAGTCCTGGTTTAGACCTGGTTCAGTCCTGGTTTGTAACTGATTTTGACCCAGTATAGACCTTTGTTTTGACCTGGTTCAGTTCTGCTTTCAGTGCTGGTTTTTCTCAAGTCTATATCTTGGTTTAGTCCTGGTTTAGTCCTGGTTTAGTCTTGGTTTAGATCTTGTATAGTTCTTTTTTTTCCCCATACTGGTTTTATTCCTGGTTTGGTTCGAGCCTAGTTTGGACCTAATCCCGACCCTGTCCATAACCTGTCTTAATCCTGGTTTAGACCTCATTAAATCCTGGTTTAGACCTGGTTTATACCTGGTTTAGATTTACAGAACTTGGAATGATTGGACCCATAATGTCCTTACACAAACATTTTTCCCTCAAAGGTCGAAGGCACTTTGGTGAATGTAAAGCTCTGGATTCTGTTTTGGTTTTATGCCAACTTGAAACTACGGAAGTGAGATGTTGAGTTGCCGTGGTGATGCGTCTGCGGGTTATGATGTCACTTCCTCTATGAGTGCCCTCTGGCGTGGACTCCGGTCAGGTCTTTTCTGATGATTTCATTCACTGTAAACAAAAGAAAAGAAAGAATAAAATGGTTAAATATACAGCAGCATTTTTTAAATTTAAAGATGTAAAAGCACAAAAAGAGTTAAATAAAGTTCATTTAACATTTATTTCCGTCTTAAATGTTGTATTAGTAAATCAATATCCACTGCAGAGATAATAAGGGCCACTAGGAGGAGCCCCATAGCTCTCTGTAACTCCTGTGCACTTCTCTGTCTGAACCCCAGTCTCACTCTTTCCCTCTTCCCTCTTTCTGTTTCTCTGCCTCCCCTCTCTCTCTCTTTCCCTCTCTGTTTGCATCACCTCTCTCTTTCCCTCTTCCCTCATTCTCCTCACTCCCACTCTGTCTTTCCTTCTCTTTCCTCTTCTCACTCTCTCTCCCTCTTCCCTCTCTCTTGTCCCTCATTCTCTTCACGCTCTTCCATCTCTCTCTTTCCTCTTTCTCCGCACTACACTCTTCCCTCTCTGTCTTTCTCTCTCTTCCCTCTTCACACTCTCTCTTTCCTCTATTTATACCTCTCTCTCCCTCTTTCTCTCTCTAGGTTTGCTCCCGCTCTCTTTCCCTTTCTCCTCACTCTCTCTCATCCCTCTCTCTGTCTTTCCTTTCTCCTTCCCCCTCTCTTCCTCTTCCCTCTCTCTCTTCTCTCATTCTCTTCACTCTCTTCCCTCTCTCTCTTTCCACTTTCTCCCCACTCCTGTTTCCCCCTTTCTCCTCACACTCTCTCTCCCGGCCCCCTTGTTCTCTCTCTCCCTCTTCCCTCTCTCCCCTCATTCTCATCCCTCTCTTCCCTCTTCCTCCCCTCTCAACCCTCTTTCTCCTCACTCGCTCCCTCTCCCGCTCTTCCCCCTTTCTTCCCTCTTTCTCCTCACTCTCTCTCTCCCTTCCTCTCTGTTTTTCTCTCTCTCTCCTCTTCTCACTCTCTTACCCCTCGCTCTCTTCCCTCATTCTCTTCTCTCTCTCTCTTTCCTCTTTCTCCCCACTCCTTTTCCCCCCTTTCTCCTCACACTCTCTCTCACTCTCCCCAGTTCGCTCTCTCCCTCTTCCCTCATTCTCATCCCTCTCTCTTCCCTCTTTCTCCTCTCTATCTCTCCACCGCTTCCTCCTCTCTCTTCCCTCTTTCTCCTCTTTCCTCTTCTCACCCCCTCTCTCTCACCCTCTTCCCTCTCTTTCCTCATTCTCATCCCTCTCTTCCCTCTTTCCCCTCACTCTCCCTCTTCCTTAGTTCTCTCTCTTCCCTCTCTGTCTCTCTGTTTCTCCCTCGTTCCCTCCGTGAACATGTGAGCGAACGCTGTTTCACACTAATTCCACTGCGCCTCGGGGATCTCATTATGTGCCCATGAGTAATGCGAGTATTTCGGAGCAGGCCAAAAAAGCTCTCTGCCTCCAGCCATGCCATTATCCGCCATATTACTGCTGTGTGTGAGTTTCCACGGCAACAGTACACATGGTAAAAAGAGACAATAAAATGTACTGTAATGTAAAGCAAAATTGTATTAGCTGTTCCGTATTTTAGTAAAACAGATTGGGCAACACTTTATAATGACTAAACCAAATTAACAAATATGAACAAAGACTTCATTCATACTCAACAAACAGTTAGTTAAATAAATAGTTAAATAGAACCCAAACAAGTCATTACCAAGCCTGAATCTTTCTTAAAGGTGCATTGTGTAACTTTTCTGGTGGAGGCTCCGCTACCTGCTGGTCTTCAAAATAAGTACAGTATTTTATTGTTTTGTCCGAATGTTCCATAACACTCAGCTTTTCTATCTTCACAGAGACAAGAATGCCACCAGGCCCAGTTATATCATGTCAGATCTGTGAAGAGGCAAGCCCACCCTTTTTTGAGCAATTTAAAAAAAAAAAAAAAAAAAAAGAAAGAAAACGGTCATAACATGCAGTAGTGTAACCTCAACCCGAAAAGCTGCACAGTGCATCTTTAATAAACTATTAATAAACTGTTCATGATGAATTAAGTCTCTGTTCATGTTTTATTACGTCTGACTATGATTATGAAGTATATTTTAAAACAATAAGCCGATAGTTTGCAGGGCTGTGGTCGACTAAAGGAATTCTTGTTGGACTAAACAGGATACCCCCAGGTTTGACTAGCCCAAATGTAAGACTTTTTAAAGACCTTTTTAAGCTCACTTAAATGAAAATTAAGACAAACATCGCACCCATTATGCGGGCAAAAAACACCAGATCCAATTCTAATAATGAGGAACCAACTACTATATCTAGAATCTAAGAGCCACTGTGAATTAAACCTGCACTTCCCCATGAACCATCCAGCGTCTTCCTCCACTCTACTGATTGTTTGCTCATTCCCGTCAGGGCCAGAAACCAGAATATTTCTTGTGCATACTCCAAATTAGACGTTCATTCACATTACATGATTTCATGTTGTTGTTTTTTTTCCTCCCTCCATTTAACATCACAGTGCAGCCCAGTTGAGTATACAAAAAATAGGCTAATGAAATTTAAGATGTTTGTGAAAAAAATAAGACTTGGACAACATAATTTAAGACTTTTTAAGGCCTTAATTTAGGAACATGAAATTTAAGACATTTTTAAGACTTTTAAGACCCTGCGGCTACCCTGCTAAAGACATGTGCTGCCAGCCGAATGGTCAGGCGTGGAAAAAGCTCTCAAAACTATCATCTCTGTGTATCCGACCCAAACTGCTCTCACAAGACTACACCTGCAAGGGGAGTTCATGCAAAACAACAAGGAAACAATATGTAGATATGTGAATCATAGTTTAATCTGCCTTGTTACGTAAATGCCAAAAAATGCCAGATCTTCAGCTCACTTGCTCACTCACTAACAGCTCCTTTCTGCTCTTGTCCCACAAAAATCGTTATAACCAAAATGAAATGATAATACGACTACTGCAAATTTTGGTCGACTAAAGGCCACCACACACTACAGGATTTTTCGATCGTAAATGATTTTTAAACTTGCGACAAAAAGTGCACACCACAGACACAAGGAGATTCTTATGAGACTTAAAATCTTCAATCACAAAGACTGCAGAGGGATACAGCTGTGGACCACTGGATATAAAGTTGTGAGCATGATCACATCGGCCGTTTCCTGTCTACACTAAAACCAGACTCTTAAGTGCTCAAAATATCAGAGCTCTAGTTTAGATACAAGTCAAACTGTGTTATTATTATTTGTGAAATGTGGTGCAATACTTCAGAAACAAAAACAAAGCATAAAAGATTGGCGATAAAGTCCACAGGAAGTAGAGTCACTATCATTAAGCTGCAACTTCATCTCGATCCGTGCACTGTGTGGATTTTAACAGATAAATATGAGGAACTACTTTAGTCTTTTTACTTTCAAAGAACGCCTCAAACTGGACTGGGGGTCATTATTTGTGGAGGACATATCCCGAGTTTGTAGCTTGTGTCTCTATGTCCATCACTCTGTCTGCCCCTGTGCCTGACACTGTTTTATTGGCTGTTACCGTAGCGTTTCTGATCTGACAGAGCAGCTCAGAGTCACTCTGACACCACACACATGAGGAGCGCAGCGGCTTCAAAATCGCACTCGAAGACACAAAGTCGTGTCACAACTCCCCGAATTCAGGGACAAGCAAATCGGAGCCAAAATCGGGGAAATTCTTCTGTAATGTGTGGTAGCTTTAACACTATACAGCAACAACGGACTATACAGCTCTAACAGTACTATTTGTTTGCTTACTCCAATGCTATACGAACAGAACATTCTGAATTCATAAATGACAGTGTGCAGGGATGTTAAAATAAGTACAAAATGATAGTAGCTGAATGTGTATGACGTTGGTCATGCCAGCAAAATGAAAGAAAACATCACTCATTTTTATAAACAATATCACCTTCCACCTAAATCTTTTAGTAGTTATAGTTTGCGGTGAAATCATGCTGACCATTTTCAGGAGCCTGTGATCAATACAAGTGTTCATGGTCGTGTTTAAGAGGAGTTTGATTTTCTACAAAAAGATGAGTGACTAACTGAAAAACTGTTGGTTAATAACATGTGAGAGACTTTTTAGCAGCACAAATCAGCTCAACTGTCGCATCTCCACCTAAGTCAGCTCTTTCTGGTCATATTGTGTTCTTATATTAAAGTCTAACAAAACCTCAGACAGAACAGTGCTCACAGTTAGCATCCCACCCTCAGGGAATATTGATGACATCAGCAGCATCAGTGGTTTGAGTAATTTAATATTAAAATAAAATGTTATGAGGCTTTTGATAGAAAAATATGACAACATTCGCAGTTATTTCCCTCATGAAAACGCTCTTTCTGATGATGTAATAGTGAAAGACGTCATAGCCCTGAGCAGCCCTGAGTCCTGCTGCTTTAATGGTGAGTCTGCTGCTGCTGCTGTAATGACCCACAACTGTGGAAGTGACCACATGTTACGAGGAAAAGTCTTCAGTATTTACACACACATCTATTCTCCTTATTCTGAAAGTTGCCACATGCACCACCATTACCATTACAGTTGTATTATTGTGCATAGGGCTGCCCATTTCAGCAGCAAATAAGTTTTACACAGAATACAAAACTGTTTTCAGGCCACCCAGAGAAATGGAGCATTATGAACAGTGAACATTTACACAAAGCAGCCTACTTAAAATCATATTTAAGTTGCAACTCTCAAATTCTCACAAATTCTCCATTGAATTGAATATCTCTCCAGAAATGTTACATAGTTCACCTTTAATAAACAGCTCGCTCTTTCACTCTCACAACCAGGTGGGTTAAGTGTCTTGCTGAAGGATACAATAACAGTATGCATTGACCTTCACTCTACCAATGGAGCTACTGGTGTCCAAATACTGAGGTTTTCTGAGTAGGAAACGGGGCGAGCGACCTTGGACTAAACAGGCCTCGTGTCTCTCTCTCTGTGATCACTTACAGATGTGAAAGTCCAGCCAACGTTCTGCACACGTCACACTCCGACTCCTGTTTATTTTACAGCCAAGGAATTCCCTCTGAC